AAGGGAGATTTTATTAATGTTTAAATTAAGACAATATTTTTGAGTTTATGAAGTTCCTCAGTAATTTTGTGATTTTATGTACGTTTATCTAATCAGAGATAAAATCAGAAAACTAAGAAATAATTATCAGAAAATCCTTTGTTTACATGTAAGAAACTTTGTTAGTCCCATCTAATGGGATACACGCATAGAACTACGCAAAATCTTTTGATTTTCTAAATAAAACTATATAAAATTTATCCAAGAATTATTGGTTCACTTGCGAACGCAATTTGTAAAGTATTTGGAATCAAAGGGCCTCTGAAGTGTTTTGTATTGCTCGTATATCGCACTCTTTTTCCTATCACAAAAGGTTTTCCATTTGAAGTCTCACATGCCAATTGCACCCAAATTTAACACAACAAACAGCTCCTATAATGATCTTGAAACACGGGTTTCACGGCGGCATAAGGAATTTATTATTTAAAACTTTATATACACACGTGGTATATAGGCGGACTTAATGCGCAAGGCATTCTCTACCAGTCTACCTAGGGGTGATGCAGAGATAGAATGAAATAGGTGTAGTAAAAAGTTAATATGAGAATAGTAGAAAGTAAAATAAAAATAAATAAAAATGTTGTAATACATGAAAATAAAATAAATAAGTTATAAATGGTACAACACAAAAAATATATCATAAAAAGAAAAGAACGTTGCTTGACTATATTTGAGTATGTTGAGTATATTTTTTAAAGTGTGTCTAAATCCACATTTTTTATAGAAGTAAAGTGACAATCGACCCGTCGGTCTTAAGTGTGTTTCTAATATTAACACGAACTGTTTCTAGATAAGGGCTTTAAGGAGAGCAATTATTTTTTATAGGATAAGGGTGACAAACGAGCACACAGTTTACCTGATGGTAAGAGGTTGCTGGGGCCCATAAATATCTACACCTATCCTCGATTATGAATCAAAATGCATATGCGTTGTCACCCGTGAGGACTAAGATGAAATGCCTCGTTCCCAGTAAAAAGGGTCTCCGACTCTCTACACTCACCATACGAAACACAGCAGCGTTAAGCTCCTTTTTTACACTGGTATTCTGTGAGACCGTGTGGTCTTTCCCCGGTCGAGCCAACCCATTCGTGCTATAACTTACTACTAATATAGCTGCATTTTGCATTGGTATTCCAATGGCTGACGGGCACACATTAGGTTATAGGTCAAATAATGTATTGGGTCAAGCTTTATTTGCATGGACTCTCAATTTCAATGAAATACGTAAGTAGACCGTTCTTAATTCTTAATAATACCTTTACGAGGGTCTTACCAAATCTTCAGAGCTTAGGAATAACTATAACCCTTATATGATATTAGCTGTGAATAGATTTTAAGAAAAAAATAAAAGAAAAGAGCCTTTTTTCATTTAAGGCTATTTCTTTTGAAAAGACCGGCTACGTACCTGCTATTATTCTAGTGTTAGGTTTCACGGGTGCAGGCGATAATTTACCACCAGGTGATCCGTATTTTCATTTATTGCCTCGTTTTCCATAAAAAATGTTAAACAACTCAAAGTCTTGGGTAATATTTGTTAAAATTGAACGAGTGAAGGATAGTTCCAATTAAATATTTATAACTAGGCGACCCCTTTAACAAGTAACGAGGCATGCCGTCTTAGTACTCCGGAGTTACAACGCATCTGCATTTTTAATTCTTAATTGAGCATAGTTATAATAAGTATATATGGGCCAAAACATCCACCTACTATCAGGCAACTTTTTTATTGTTAGTTACTCTGATGCCCCAACACTCAAACGATGCTCAATTTTATGATACTGTTAAGTCTCGTGATGTCTCTATTACATAAAGTTGAAGTCAAACTGACTGTGACACCACTAGACTTAACGACACCTTAAAATTAGTAGTGTTTGAGTATTTGGCCATTACTTCTTCAAATGTATTTTTTTTTTTGATGAGTGCATAGAACCAGAGACCCATTTTACTAGTAACGAGACATTCCATGCTATTCCCTAGAGGTCATAACGTGTCTGGATTTTGATTCTTAATATAGGTATATATCGTTAACATAGGTTTAGCAGTTAAACCGTGTAGCGGTAAACATTTTAGAGCACCTAATTTTTATACATGGCACCTAATTAGCACCTAAAAGGCCCCTAATTTTGGGTTTTTCTAAATGCAAATTCCTGACTTTGCGTTGCTGGCGATACACCACTTTATCGAACCCCTGGAAGAATAGAATAGAATATAATATTTTTTTATTCACTGTAGATTCCAAAAAAAAACCTCTGTCCATTTTTGTATAAAATTAATTGAGTACTTAGTGATTCATTACAGCCTACAAAAGTCCACTGTTGAATAAACGCCTCCCCAGAGGGTATTTTGCTATAGTTCCTATGCTTGTCAGGCGGGTTGGCTTGTTTAAGGAAGATGCTGCAGCCCATCCTCCTTTTCAGTTTCCAGATACAAAAATCAGGTTTTCTTCTTAAAATGGTAAAACTATAGAAAATTTTAGAGCACCAAATTTTTAAACTTGGTACATAATTAGTAAGTACCTAAAAGCCCGTGATTTTCGGTTTTTCTAAATGCAAATTCCTAACTTTGCGTTGCTGACGAGACACAACTGTTCGATATATGTAGTTACGGTCGCTATCACTGACTAAGAACTTAATAATAAAATAGGCCAGGGTTAAAATTTCTTGACTTTCGTAAGTGGCGAAAAACACTGACTAGACACGCTCGTGAAAGTCTGAAATACATTTTTCTCATTTGACGCAACAGTATTTGAGAACATCTTGAAGGCGTCGTGTCGTTGACATTGAAGCGAGTGACTTGTTTTTAACCACAATAGCTGGCTGCAAAATTGATCCCATTTCCTAACTGAGTTTTACATTTCATATATTATCTCTATATATTATATAAATCTTCTCTACGTGTGTTTCTTTGATTTTGTTTAAATGATTTTTTGCATGTGTTTTATTGGGTCCTTTCTTGGTTTAGATTCACAGTTGGACCCGGTAGGTGGCGCTGTTGACGAGATGTAGAAATCACCCGAGTGAAGTCGGGGTGGATCGCTAGTCACTTACATCTATGAGATGTAAATTTTCATAGCATTTTCTTGTTTAGTTACTCATTTAAGACGTCGCAACACTTGTTTAAAACAAAAAGTAAAGTTACTGCTTTTTACGTTTCACTACTGGGCACAGTTCTCCTCTCCTTTTTCAAAGAGCAAGAAAATGTCCGCTGATCGCACTAATCAGTAAACCTCGGAGTAAGAGGTTTATTGATTAGTGCTTTAGATTATTTTTCCAACTTCAAATATGTGTGAGTTATCACGATGTCGCCATGTACCGGCAGCGTAAGAGGACTCACTACTACAGATCATCCCGTAGGTGTCGTAAGAGGCGATAGAGATTGTGGAGAGGCCAGTGCGTGATAGTGAACACCATTATCATTACTGTATTGACAGCAAAAGAGTGAGAATAAAGATCAGTGTTGTAGAACGGAAATTTAAACGTCGTTCTAGTAGGTAGTAATGGACAAAAAAAGCTATTATTTAGATAGACCGAAGTACAGTCATGTGGAATATTGGAAAGGAGGGATTCGATTGATTTTTTTCTACCTGGATCTTGGCTTACTAATAAAATATACAATTATAAAATATAAGATTTTCTGAAAATAAATCTAATCTAATCTATAAATATTATTTGAATTGAAAACAAATACCAATGTTGTTATGATAAACTAAATGATAGGGGTTCTTCGTGAATTCTTGCCGAATGGTTAAGGCGTAAGAGTGGGAAACACCAAAATAATCATATAGCTATATAATAATACGTGGAAGAGCCATGCTTCACACATATAATCGTTGTATCACGAATGAGTTGGCTTAACCGGGGAAGCGCCACGCTCTCACAGACGACCAGAGTAAAATAGAAGCTTAATGCCGCTACGTTTTGTATGGTGATTGTAGAGTTATAACAGGCTTTAACAATAAGTGTTTCGTAGCTATGGTCAGATTTATCACTTGTGTTAGATTTTGGAATAATTTTGTCTTATAATAATACCTACAATGCTAATTGGTTCTAAGCCGGGTCACCCAATCCATCTACTCTAATTCACTTTGAAATGTAAATAAGGTTTCGAATACGAATAATAAGTCTTTATCAAATCACTTGATTTATAATTTGCAATTGACTGGAATACTCTAAAGATGAAGGAATATCAAACTTTTTTTAATGATATATTTTTCTACATTTTAGTCAACATCTGTAATTTGCCTAATAACGCCTTAGCTATATTTTATTCGAAAATCTTAAAGTATTTTTTGAATATACTATTTTTCATATAAATTGTCTTTGATTATCTTAAACTTAAATAACGTCATTTGTCCAAGCAAAGCCGGGGCAGAACGCTAATCTATTCCTATGATTACGATGAAACTTTGGTGAATAGTTTTCCCACCTTCGCCTAGAGGTAGGCACGAGGCTGCTATTCCAGAAACTTTTTTCCCTATCGGTTGTCGGTTCTTCAAGCTATATAGCTGGCCCATTTTTTATAGGAGAAGTAAAAGTAAATGCGCATGCGGCTCACCTAATGGTGAGTAACTACCACCGCCCATGAATAACTGCAACACCAGGGGACTTGCAGATGCATTGCCAGCCTTTTAAAAAGGAGTTTTAATTTAAATTTTAGAGAGGAGAAAACTTTTTTTGAAGGTCCCTTAGTCTTATCAGTCCGAAAAAATTGCTGGTGGTTGTAGTGTATTTCGTAAATAAGTAAATAAGACACGGGTAAGCGGATTGACGGTTTATTCGTGACTGTTCGACAAGCCCTTTACAATCAATCACTTATATATTTAATGTACCCTCATTACAATCCTCCCCCCTTAATTAAGACTTACAATTAGTTATACTATACTGTTATACAGAAAAGGAAAAAAAAAATCTTGAAAATATTTAAAAAAAAAGGTATATAAAAATAATATAGTGCAATGGTAACTACTCTTTATAGCTTGGGGGGTTATCCAAACGGCACTTGCGTACCGGCCGGAAGACCTGGGGCGGCGTTGCGGGCGGCACAGGCGACGTATGAGCTGATGGAGCACGAAGTGTTGACGTTTCCCTTGCCGTATCTAAGCAATCACTCTTATCTATTATTTCGGTTCCCTCCGGTGCTTTTGATTTCCTGCCGGTGTCTTTTACGGCAGGGTTTATTCTAGGCGCATTAATTTCCTCTGCACCGGTGCAAGACAACGACTCGGAACTCGAATTTGGCTGACTATTACTACTACGGGGACAAATCAGTGAACTCCTAATTCTACGTTTTAGCTGGTCTATATGCTTATGTGACTCCTTACCTATAGTGTCTAAAACTTTGTAGTCCGTTACGCCCAAACGTTGCGTCACTTGTCCGGCTGTCCACTTGTCACTCCCCTGATATCGGCGAAGCCATACATCCTCACCCGGCTGCAGGCCACGTTCACCAGTGGGAGCGTTCTCTTTCTGGTTTATTTGAGTTTTAATAATTTTATTCTCAATATCCGGTCTAAGTACGTCTAGTTTAGTACGTAATCTTCTTCCTAACATGAGAGAAGCGGGACTTTCGCCCGTAGTACAATGTTCGGTATTTCGATAATGCAATAGGAAAGTGTTTAAAAATAAATTTATATCTTTATTTTCCCTCACTGCCTTTTTAATAACTTTCTTGACAGTGCGGACTGCGTTTTCCGCGGCACCGTTTGAAGCCGGGTGGTACGGTGCGGTGAAAACATGCTGTATCCCATTATTTGTTAAAAACTGAGAAAATTCCCTACTGATAAATGGCGGCCCATTGTCTGATACTAATTGTTTAGGTAGACCCCACCTAGCAAAAACTTCGGAAAGTTTAACTATAGTGTGGCTAGCTGTTGTACTCGGTACATAAAAAACCTCTAGCCATTTAGTTCTGGCATCAATTATTACCAAGTAAATTTTATTGAAAATTGGCCCTAAAAAATCTATGTGTATACGAGACCAAGGCTTAGCCGGCCATGGCCACGGGCTTGGAGTGTGCCGTTGGGGCGCGTCCGCCTCGGCCGCACACACGACGCACGCTCGACACATCGTTTCGATTGCCTCATCGATCCCCGGCCACCACACATAGCTTCGAGCTACCGCCTTCGTTTTGACGATTCCCATGTGGCATTCGTGGAGTTCGTTTAACACCCTACCCCTGCAATTCTCCGGTATGACTACTCTATGACCCCACATGATACACCCTAGTTCTTCGTATAGTTCCTTTTTTCGGTTAAAATACGGTTGCAATGATTTGACCTCATTATCGATGGGCCAATCTTCTCTTAAGTATAGTATAATTCTACCTAAAATCGGATCGCGCTGGGTTTGTTTTTTAATTTCATTATAATCTAGTAACATTTCACTTTGAGCGAAATGTAAATACGTTTGTTCAGGTAAATCTAAACATTCTTTCTTTGTGGATTGAACCGATACCGGTAGACGAGATAAGCCATCCGCACAGTTCTGTTTACTACTAACGTACTCTATGTCATAAGAGTAAGCGGATACCGTAATCGCCCAACGCTGCAATCGGCTCGCAGCCATTAAAGGAATGCCATGTTTTGGGCCAAAAATACTGACAAGCGGCTTGTGATCAGTACGTAAGGTGAACCGTCGACCATACAGGTATTGATGCAATTTTTTTAAGCAAAAAACAATTGCTAAAGCCTCGCGATCAATTTGTGAATAATGTTTCTCCGCGTCGCTGAGAGCACTCGACACATAGACCACCGGCCGCTCGCTTCCCGCTGCGCCGGCGCACGGCTGAGTGAGCACGCCTCCTATACCTCGAGCGCTCGCGTCACACGTCAGTATTAACGGTTTGTTTTGATCGTAATGCAATAATACTTCCGCACTGGTTAAGACCTTTTTAATTTTTTTAAAAGAGTCCTCGCAACTTCTGTCCCAGTCCCAAGTAACACCCTTTTTTAATAAGCCGTAAAGTGGGGCTAAGGTAGTACTTAAATTTTTAATGAACTTAGCGTAAAAATTGACTAATCCTAAAAATGATCTTAAGTCCGAAACGTCCTTGGGGCGCGGATTTTTTACTATAGCAGCTACCTTGTCAGGATCAACTTTAATGCCATCTTTTGAAATAATATATCCTAAATACTTGACCTCGTCCACCATGAATAAACATTTGTCTTTCCTAAGCTTCATTCCGTTTTTATGTAATCTACTAAGCACCGTCTCCAATTTTGTAAATGCTCTCTTTCATTATAAGAACCTATTATTATATCGTCTAAAAATACTTCTACCTTTTCGATATCGTGAAAAAGATTTGACATTATACGCTGGAAAATTCCTGGACTTGATGACAACCCATATACTAGCCTGTTATACGTAAATAAGCCCCTATGTGTATTTATAACGGTAAGGTTTTTAGAGTTATCTAGTTCGATCTGATTGTAGGCTTGTGACAGATCGATTTTAGAGAATATTTTAGCGCCATTCATACCTACTAACAAATCATTAATCCTAGGCAAGGGAAATCTATCGACCAGCAATACGGGGTTCAGTGTCACTTTATAGTCTGCACAAATTCGGAGCCCTCCATCCGCCTTACGTACCGGCACCAGAGGTGTAGCCCACTCAGAGCTCTCCACGGGTTCAATAACCCCCTCCCGAAGCATCGCATCCAGCTCAGCATCCACGCGGTCCTTGAGCGCGTAGGGCAAAGGTCGTGCGCGGCAGAACACCGGTGTCGCCCCTTCCCGGACTCGCAGCGTCCCCTTGCCGCCCGCGAACCGCCCCAAGCCGCCGGAAAACAACTTGTTATATCTGTCGAGTAATAATGACAAATTATTGTTACTAAAATGGTCATCCAGCACCATGCTGTGGAATGTCGGAATTTTAATCTGCAGTTCCGACAGCCACTGTCTACCCAACAATGAAGTCGTGCCCCCATCTGTTGTTATATTTCCATATCTAACTTCGGGCTTGATGATGCCTAAAGGTTTGATTCGACTTCCATCATAAAATTTTAGAACCAGATCGAACTTGTCCATAGGTCTAGTGTAAAAATATTTATTATAAGTCGCTTTACTTATACAAGACACTGCCGACCCGGTATCAATTTCCATATTAAGTTTAAACCCGTCTAATAATAATGTTAGGCTCACCGGTTTATAGCTATTTAAACATAGATGGTGTAGATCCTCCTGTAACTCCGTTTGACTTTCCACGGATGGTGGCTCGTCGTCCGCTGACGGTGTCTCGCACTCTGCCGCCTCCACATGGTACATGTGGCGTCGGGAGCCCGCATTTACCCCGTGTACCCCCCTCGTTTGGGACATACCCGGCGTAGATGACCGCTCTGTTTGCATTTACCACACACGAATTTCTTATAGCGGCAATCATCACTTCGGTGGTACCTCGACCCGCACGCGCTACAATATAGCGCATTGCCGCCGCCATGTTCTCGACCTTTAAAAGCCCTCGGTGCGCTGTCCTGCTCCCGCGTTCGAGCGCGGCTTGTCGATGACGTCACCGCATGCAAGGCGCTGTCCGCGCCGCTACCGCCGAGCCCGTCGCCGTCACCCGCCTGCTCCACTGCGGCCGAATCCCGCTCCGCCGCCTCTAAAGCGCAAGCTATTCTCACAGCTACGGAATATTTCAGATTATCTTCTGCGAATAATCGTTGACGGATGACATCACTTCTTAGCCCACACACCAATTGATCCCTTAAATTGTCCTCTAGAGTTGAATGAAACTCGCAGTATTTCGACAATTTCTTAAGTTCGGTTATATACTGCGGAATCGTTTCTCCGCTCAACTGTCTTCTTTGTCGAAAACGATATCGCTCCGCCATGAACGAGGGTTTCGGTTGAAGATGTTCCTGAAGTATTTTTACCACTTCTTGATACGATTTATCTCCCGGTTTAATCGGACTTGTTAAATTACTTAATAATTCGTACGCTTCGTCTCCCATACCGGCGATTAATGTCGGCAACCACATTTCGTTTTTCACTGCATTTACTTTAAGGTACATTTCTAGTCTCTCAACATATAAAGTCCAGTTTCCCGTTTTGACGTTGAATTCACTCACTTTGCCGATCGACATTATATTTAATATGCGTCCACGTAAATTTACCGAAAAAAATAAAAACGACTTGATCCTCGTCGCCACTGTAGTGTATTTCGTAAATAAGTAAATAAGACACGGGTAAGCGGATTGACGGTTTATTCGTGACTGTTCGACAAGCCTTTTACAATCAATCACTTATATATTTAATGTACCCTCATTACAGTGGTAACCGATTTCACAAGGAAGTTGTGCGAGGAAGAAAACATCTTCTAAATCGCACAATGATGCCAATGGACCGCCAATCATCCAGATGGTGTGGTTGGTCGAGATGGAAGCACTCTCAATGGTAGATGCGATAAAATAAGCAAAGAGATGCAACATCTCTTTGCAGCGCCAGTGAATAATCGAGCCGGTGAATCAAGTCGGAAAGGACTCGGTTGTCGAAGATTCGAGCCGCTCTGCGCTGAATGCGGTCAAGTGGAAGGAGCTGGCACTGGGGACCCCCCATCTCGGAGATGGGAACAGTAATAAAAAACGCCTTGCAGGCAATATGCCGGCATGAAATACTGTCCCGCTCTTCTGAGCAAGCCAAGCTTTTTAGAGGCTAATTTGGCCTTCTCTTCCAAGTGGCCACGAAACTACACGTCACACAATATGTTGACGCCGAAGATTCCTATACTGGCTGAGGCAACAAGGGTTGAAACTGAGGAGATATGACAAAGGGGTTTTTAGCGGTAAACGCGCAAACTTGTGTCTTCTGAGGATTAAACTGGACTAGATTTAGTCGCCCCGACTAAGTAGAGACTATGTTCAGCAAATACTCAATTTCAGACATAAATTTGTTCCGGTACTCGGCAACGTTTTCCCGAAAAATATTTTCAAGGCCGGTGTATAGAGCATGACGTTACCGGCTTGCAACATATCATTGATATGCAGAAGAAACAGCGTTGGTGATAGCACACAGCCTTGTGGAACACCAGCATTAATAGACTTGTTATCGGAGCATTGACCGTCTACTACAACCTCGATGCTCCGATCAGCCAGAAAACTGGTGATCCGATTGCAAAGTTTCTCGAGAAGCCCCTAGGAAGGAAGCTTCAAAAGAAGCGCTTTGTGCCAGACCCGATTGAGGGCCTTCGGAAGATCACCAGCTGAGCGATTCCAACGGAAACCGTACTGGCAGTTACTAATCAGCTGATGCTCTTCAAGGTAATGCATGAGCTGGCAGTTAATAATGGACTCCATTATCGAGAATAAGATGGTGATTTAAGTTAACTTCAAAGAACTAAAAGAAATAAAATTTCACATTCTAAAGTTGGTGCTAAGGTATAATTTATAGATATATATATAAAGCCCCGCCTTCAGAATATGTAGTTGTTTTATTAATTTTAGATGTTATCGTGCATTGGCGGTGTAAGAATATTCACTACCTCATATCATCCCGTGGCTGTCGTAAGAGGCGACAGGGGGAAACATATCAGGAGATGGGCAGCAGTGTCTTCCTAATAACGATTAAAATTAAAAAAAAAAACTGCTGTTGCTTATCCCCTTACCAAGCTTGGCAACTATGGCAAATATACCCCCTATGAGGCAATCTATGTGAGAGATCTATGTTCAACAGTGGACTTTAATAAGCTGTAACGGTAACTGTAAGTCTAATTATATATGCGAATATTTACAAAAGCCACTTCTAGTCGATGCTTGTAGCTTTTAAAAAGGGTCAAGAGGTATTATCAACCGCGGACCATTTTATTAGGATAGAATAACAGTCATACTAAATTCAACCAAATGCCCACATCGTAAAATAGAAATTTGACTCACGATAGTTATTTTAAAATTTTTAGACAAAAGATTCATATGCGAAATTCATAACTACAGATAACATGGTGGCTTTATGACTTCAATATTAAAAATTTTCGTGAAAATTTGATGTGGTGTGAATTGGAATTCATATGAATATTTTTCAGTGTCTGTTTCTATTCATGTTAGAGATAAGTAAAATTTGGAAGTGCTACGTTTAGTAATGACCGTGTAATAGTGGTGTAGGAATATTATCTGCTGGAGTCTAACATTAAATATACTTTATATCTTCGACAAAGCCGATAAAACAGACTCAGCAATTCGCCGTGTAGTAGCGGCGTAAAATCTACCAACTGTTTCGAACCATGAGCCAAAAATATAAAGAAATGGCCCTGTTTTCCTAACCTATAGGTTAGGTTACGAAAAAAAACATTTTTTGTGTTTTTGGGTCGAGGAATTCTCAGTAGCAGCCGGAGTTAGGATCTTCGCAGTATTTCACCTCCATACCTCGGGAAGCACGTAAATCCGCTGTTTCCGTCGGACTATGTACATATGTAAGGTAATAGAAAGTGCAACTGTGCTAGCGCACACATTGGAGCACTATAATCCTTTCCTACGCAGATGGGCTAGTCTTTCTCGAGATTGGCTGCCGTAACTGAAAATCGGTAAGGCGGACATTAATTAATCTGTGGTACTATATGTTTCAATCTAATTTTTCAAATAAAGCAAAAGCGAATAAATTTCGGCCCCCACTAGATGGAGTAACAAACTGGTAAGACATACTGGAGGTCAATAGATGCAAGTGGTTCAATCCTAGTTTTTCGGCATTCATTAGTAGAGATCTGTGTTCAGCAGTAGACTTTTGATTGGATTCAATAACGTTAGTGACTTTGTCAAATTAAATAAATTTAATTTCTGATTTCGTATATACGTACTTTATAATTCCTTAAGTTTATTCATATAATTAAAATTTAAGTTATCACGAGAGGAAACTACTAATCGCCAAAGCTAACATTAAAAGCATTCTCTCTGAAACACTGTTAAATCCTGCTCAAATGGTATATCATTTAGTTAATATATTGTAAAAGTAATTTAATAAATTGTTTTGTGTTATTTTGTTATAAGGTGCATTGGGACTGGCATGTTAAAAATAACGAAAATCCCTTAATTAAGTAACATTTGTCAACCCCATCAGTGCCCCTGTGGTAGCAGCGTCGACAAGTTTGGGCTCCACGGACTTTCATGTAAGAAAAGCGCTGGTAGGTTTAGGTAGGAGAGAGGTAAAGCCCTAGTGTGGGATGCTACTTGCGTAGACACTCTGGCGGCCTCTCATCTCAGAGGTACCTCGTTTAAAGCCAGGGCGGCATCAGAGGCAGCTGAACTGAGTAAGTGGCGCAAATATGAGTCTCTGAGAGATGACTACATATTTGTGCCATTTGCTGTAGAGACTATCGGTCCGTGGGGTCCACGTGCGGTGAAGTTCCTAAAGGAACTCCATCCGCGGCTGGTCGTTGCTGCTGGTGATAAGAGGGCTGGTTCTTTCCTCGCTCAAAGACTAAGTATAGCCATTCAGCGGGGAAACGCAGCCAGCGTTCTTGGCACGATACCGCGGGGAGTAGGACTATATGATAATTAAGTTTCTAGTTTTAGTTTTTTTTTATTATCATAGTTTTTAATATTGTAAATAAATTGTAAATAAATTATAAATTAAGTAAGAATAAAATGAATTAAGTGTGTGTTTAAGAAAACTTTGCGGAGCAACTAAACAATACTTTCAAAGCCTTGTTTTACACGACGTAATTCCAGTTCTCATCTATTGAGAAACCAGTCAACTTTAAGAACTTTACAACAAAAACTTTAAAACAACTTTAAGAACAAACAAATTTATTTAAAAGTATAGATAGAATTTATTTGTTGACAACTTATAATACAATTTCAACAAAAGACCACCCTCATGTTTAAATATGGATAGTGATAAAGATAAATCGATAGACAGAAGTGATGGAAGTGATTCGGAAGTCATACGTATATGTGAATTAGAACTAAAGCAAATTGAAGATCGAAGAATATCTCGTGTGGCTAAAATGGAACAGGCGAACTCTGGGTTCACTACCCGAAAGTCTGAAGTGAGATCGGAGAAGAGAAAAGCACGTGAAGAAGATACAAACAGCGAAGATGATTATGTGACAGTTGAGAAAAGAAGACCGAAACGACTCTTAAGAAGTATTTCAACAGGACAGGGACAAAAGACAACATCGAAAGAAATCGGATGTAAATATGAGGTTTGTGTTACATCATTTAAAGAATTACCAAAACAAATGGCGTTAGCTAAATTATTACGAAATGAGAATATTCAGAATATTGAAACAATCAAATATAAGTCTCCTTTCAAAGTTTTGATTTGTTTTCAAAGTGATAATGATGCGGAAAAAATGATTAGTTGTAAAAAATTTCAAGATTTAGAGTACAAATGTCAAAAAACGTTTGAAACCACGGTTTCTTATGGATTGATCAGAGGTGTGGATTTGGAGTTTACTGAGGAAGATAGTTTAGCAATTTTGAAAAGTGATATCAAAATATTGGCGGTAAGACGACTTAAACGACTAGATTTAAATAGCAAGTGGGTCGAAAGTGAAACTGTAAGGATATGCTTTCAAGGCACTATTTTACCTCCTTATGTCACGGCATATGAGTATAATTTCAAAGTGGAAAACTACACTTTTCCAGTAACACAATGTACCGGATGCTGGAAATTCGGACATATTATTAAAGCATGCCCGACTAAAAAAATCTTATGTCCAAAATGTGGTAGTACAGAACACATAAACTGTGATCTAAAAACATACAGGTGCCTCAATTGTAAAGGATTACATTTCGTTTTGGATAAAAGTTGCCCTATGTATCTCAAAGAAAAAGAAATACGTATCACTATGAGCAAGGAAAATATAACTTACAGAAAAGCTCTACAGATGATTATAAATAAAAGTCAAATAGAAATGAGCGAAAACTTAAATATGCACTCTAAAAATACTTTTGTCAATCAAGAGATGACAGAACAGCCTACACAAGTATGGGAAAACCGTGGCTCTCGAAGTTATAGTCAGGTTGTTGCTGACGCTCAAGTTCATAATGAAAATAATCAAGAACCAGCCTCAGAGGAAGGAAAAACACCTTTAGAAACAAATAAAAAGGAAAGGAAAGAAAAGAAAAAACAAAGACAAAGAAAAGAAAAGAAA